CTTTGAGATGATAAATCTATTAAGAATTATAAAGATAATTAATTATAAGACTTTTATTTACTCACAAATATTTTAAAACCTATTTGAAGTTGAAATAAATAAATAGTTATGAAATATATTTTAAATATTAGACACAAATTTTTCTAAAAATGTATACAATTAAATACTAAAATCATTCTACTACTAATAAAAATTTCAAACTAAAAAAAAATGGTGTAATTAATAAATAATCATAGAGTTTGACGACCTCAAAAAAATATTAATAATTTAAAAACAAAGAGCACCCTATTATATATTTTGGAATTAAAATTTCTGTTTTTAATTTATTATTTTAATTTTTTCAGGTGTTGTTTGGACACTATGCGTTTAGTTGATTTATTATTAGTATTACTCCTTGAGGGACGTGATGCAGTATCTTGGAGTACAGTGGCTTGTTCTAGTACTAATCCTTTATTACCAAAACTGCGACGTTTAGATTCTAGTGCTGAAAAATCTCAACGTCATTTAATTGATTGTATTAGAAGTAAAGACACGGAAGCATTGATGGAAGCTGTTAATTCTGGAGGTAAATTTCTAATTTAATTCTACTCTTAATCAATAGTTTCTTATTTTAATACTTTTAAAATATATTTTAAAAATCTTAAAAGCTATTGATGTGAACTTTGTGGATGAAGTGGGACAAACTTTATTAAATTGGGCTTCTGCATTTGGTACTCAAGAAATGGTTGAATATTTATGTTCAAAAAATGCTGATGTTAATAAAGGTCTTAGATCATCATCTTTGCATTATGCTGCATGTTTTGGACGTCCATCTATAGCCAAAATACTTTTAAAAAATGGTGCTAATCCGGAATTACGTGATGAAGAAGGAAAAACACCACTAGATAAAGCAAGAGAGCGAATGGATGAAGGTCATCGTGAAGTTGCTACAATATTAGAATCTCCAGGTTTGATTTATTATTTGAAAAAAAAATTCCTTACCTAATTTTAATGCAGTTCTATACCTTAAAAAAATTTAAAGTTGTACTCGTTAGTAAATTTCTATGTATGTTGAACTCGTTAAAGAAAGATATATGTACATTTATGTTATACAGAGTGGTTAATGTCTTCTAAAAATGAGTCTGGT